TGGTAGTATTGGCTGATCGGACGAACGGAAACGAAAGGGTAACACGATCGGACGGATGAAAACGTAGGAGTGACGTGGATGAAGGAGTTTGGGGCTTTGGTATATAGGAATAAGGTTTATGGTAGATATTGCAAACCTCTATTACACCCTCTACGTTATTGCTGGTATATTTCTTCAAACTCTGATATATGATGTGAGAAAACAAAAGTTTACAAATTAAAGCTATATATGCTGCTATATATTTATTCTGGAACAGGGACGGATGCATGATAATGTCTAGGGAGGGCTTCTTTAACCTCCAGACTGCTCCAACCTCTCCCCAAGGTGCATCGATGGCAAAAAAAAAAATCGTAGGAGAAGCTAGGGGGGCACCGCTGGATCCATCCTGTTCAAGAATCAAAAGATGAATCGATTGAACAAAACCAGACTAGAATTGAAAAAAATAATGAGAAACACAACTGCATCTCCTTATTTTGTATGCTAGTATGTTAACATCTCCTCTTTTGTCCTGTCTTTGGCCCTGTTGTAAGTGATTCGTATAAAAAAAACAATATAAATAAATAAATAAAACTCTATCTGCGGTGGCCAGATAGTCCCGGGTATTCCGGCTAAAGAAGAAGATTTTCTCATGCAGATCGAGAAAACTCTCGAACCCCACCCTACCTATACACAACGGCACTATGGCTTTGTGAGATGAGCTAATCATAGACCTATGCTTTAGACGTGGGGCAGACAAAGAAGTTATTTTTTCCTAGTAGCTACGGCCGAAGCCACGAATAAAGAGTGAATCCCTCGTTACCTCTGACCAGCCAGAGGAGTTACTTAGCAGCCAGGCCGTTCCCATATAAACAAATGAAAGAAAAAGGGGAACGGAAAGGATGAAGTGAATCAGAAAACTTGGCACAAGTACAATAGAACCAAATGTGTGCGTCTAAGTATCCAACTATAGCAAAGCTGTGAACTGGAACAAAGCGGCAGAACGTACGCTTTACACTCCACTGGTGCTTTCCTCTCGGAAGCTACGTTCCAGTAACTGCAGATCGCGTTGCCACGGGTCGATGCAAACTAGGACACCCGAGAGGACGGACACCCTGCACGACCTGGTGGCCTGTTCCAGCATGAGGTTTTCCATTAGGATCGCTCTCACAAATTTAACTATCGCGCCATGAAAATGCTCACAAGTCAGAAACCAATAACATATATAGTGGCTTCGCCAATTTTGAGGATTTATCGTTGTAGTCTTTAAAAAGGATCTTTATAGAAGTAGGATTTGTATGCGTGCGTTAGCAGGAGTGAGTGTGTGAGTGTCTGAGCTGTAATATGTAATTGAAAAAAGAAAACTGTGGGACTGGGATGGGACCTGAACCATAAAGAAACTAGTACCACATGGCATATATTCATTCTGACATGGACCATTTTCAGAGGAGCAATAGGAAGCAAGCTTATATCCGATCGATCAAGACTCAAGAGGCCCTACAATTCGCAACCGCGCGAACGAAAATCATGCTCCGTGCAGATCTTGATTATCGGCATCCGTAAAAAAAAATCAGAGCCAAGAATCCAAGATGCATCCAGTTGAAGGAAAGGACATGACCCCCATGCCATTGCTAATAAAGCCAGCCAAGGCACTGTCGGGCATTGACCATTATGAGCCGTTTCGCACGCCCACAAGGAAAGCGAAGCTGTGACGGGCCATCCTTGTGTGTAGGGTCCCTTCCCTTCCCTTTGGATGGGCAATTGGACGATGAATGGAGTTTTTCGGAGGACCAGTGGAATGGTGCACTGCTACTGCACATTGGCCTTCCCAGATCTTTGCAAGTGTTTTTTTTATCTCCACTAGTAAACCCCCGGGGCATGGGCGGCGGCAGGGGTATGCACCTGTATTCCATAGAATACCCAAGCTTTTGAGACAAAAACAAATACATATTATACGTATACGTATACAACTATTGTAAAAGTTGCAAAGTTGGCCCATAAGCCCATCTAGAAGCCCATGATGTTACAGAAAAGGCAGAAACTCCTCCGAGTCCCGTCCCTGCATTTCGCTTCTCCGACGGTCGACGGCGGACATTGCGCACCCAGACAGATTCGGTAGATTGCCTCTCGCTCGCCTCTCGCTTCGCGATCGGTGGGAGCACAGGATCTACGGAAGATTTTGGTGGCGGGTGGCGGCAAGCAGACAGCATCGTAAAAGACGGCCTCCCCTCGGCTCGGCCGGCAGCCCCAAGACGCCGCTACTCGGCGCCTCCCCTCTGTCGTCGCCGCTTCGCCCCTCCCTTCCCGCTTCAGCGGTTTCCTTGCCCCTCTGGCTAAGGTGAGAGAGGTCCGATCGAGGCGTCGAGTGGCCACGAAGCGCGACTCATGTGAGCGGAACCGTTGAAGTTGAAGCAAGGTGAGCACAGTAACACAGCAGTGTCAGATCCATTCTTCAGAGTTAAAATTTAGGATTTCGTTTTCTTTTTTTTTTTGCATTGGATTCTTCTAACATAGATGAAGAAGAAGGGTGCTAGCATATTTGCATTGTGGGAGAAAGCTGCAAAGGCAAAGAAAACAGCTTCCACGTCCACACCAAATCCTCCTCGTGTTGAGGTTGAGAGCCAGTCCCCTGCTGAGAGCAATCCGCAGCTAGCAATTGTGGAAGCACAGGATGATGGTGAAGCAAATGATAAAGATCGAGCTCCCCAACCGGACACGGACAGAGTTCCCCCAACTCTAATTGTAGAAGATGATATCATTAATCAATTCCAAAAAGGGGACCGTAGAGTTATATTTTATTAGCTTTGATATTTTGTAATCTTTCTTAATTATTAAAGACAATGGCACTATGCCATTATATTCAGAGGTTGTACTTTGCTTATTACTATTGCACATTTGTATCAAAATTTTTTTATGTATGCGGAATACCCAGCTATGAAATTCTGGCTCCGCCACTGCCCCGGGGGGCTAGGAGAGGAGCATGCGGGAGGAGGACGTTGCTGCCGTGCCGCCCACCCGCACCTCGGCTACATAGTAAGGTCTTGTTTGGATCCAAGAGGATTTTAAAAATCTAGATAAAAAAATCTGATGTGTTTTATTGGATTACGTGCAGGTGTGTTAAAATCCACTAAAATCATATCGTGTTTGGATGAGATTCTAGGATTTTTTTTATCCGGATTCCTCGAATCCCACGGTAACCAAACGCTACCTAAATGCTAGAGGCCAAGGCATGGGGGCAAGCGGTAGAGGGCAGCCACAGTGGAGCAGGGATTCGAGCCCGGCACGGGGCACGGGACACATCCACCGTGCGATGCGAGACTTCGACCACCATTCCGCCCTCCAGCTAAAGAGATTTGGAACCTTGTGCTGACCTTAGAGCATTTTGATGTGCAACTAATCCAGCCACATGTCCAGCCAATAGAAATTTGTGCTTGGTGGGAGGAAGCAGCTGCCACAATCACAAGGCAACGATGACAACACTTCAACGGGGTGGTGATTTCGACGTGGAACACTTGGAAAGAAAGAAACAGAAAGATTTTTTAAAACACCGCCATGGACGCAAGACAGGTGACCTCCAAAACCAAAGAAGACATCGATCTTCACTCACGGGTCTTTAACAATATAACTTAGCCCCCCTCTGTTTCTTCCCTAAGGGGAGTGGAGATTGTTCTTTTTCTATATGTAGGTTGTGTCCTCTGGGGTGTTTTAGGTCTTCGATCTTTCTGTACATAAACCTCTACTTTTCTTAATTGAAAAGTGGAGCTCCTGCCAAGTATTCTTTTAAAAAAAGAAGACTAAGTGACGGGTGAACATGTGTCCCTTTTCTTTTCTCTGTGCAAGCATGTGTCAATCCTAATTGAACTTTTTTCTCTCTCTCTCTCTCTTGCAGTATTTCCTATGCTGATTGCTCTGTTTGGAACTGGACCTGCGGGGGAAAGCCACCCTCGGGCATTGCATTAAGAAGAAGAACCTTCTCACGCAGGTCCAGAAAACCCTCCGAACCTCTGCCCCACCCATACACAGTGGCACCGTACTCCTGTGAGAACAGAGCCGTTCCTTAGACATGTGCTTTAGCGTGGGACAGAGAGACGATTTTTTTAATTCCAGTCTGAAATTCGCTCCCACGGAGAGTCGAACCCGGGCCTGAGGAGCGCCGCTGCGACGCGTTGGATCAGAGACCCTTTGGCGCTCTGTTTGGAACATTGCGATTCACGCACCACTCTTCTCAAGAAGAATGGGAACAAAGCAGCAGACTCCTCCCGTTGTCGATTTTCACCAGCACAGGCCTAGACCAAAAGACTGCTGCCGCTCCAGCAAAGCAAGCACGGGACCGTGCCGTGCCATGCCATGCCATGCCGGGCCGTGCGATGCAGCCTGCCTCCTGCGCCTCTGCAGCAACAAGACAACACGGCGGATGGATCCCCAGGAGTAGCGCTTTTTTATTACTCCTGCCCCCATGTCCTCACTCCTCGGTCCTCACCGCCCACCGGCCACCGCTGCTGCTGGCTACAGTGCTCACCACCACGGTGGCCGTGGCTCACCCGAAAAAACCCATCGGCCTCGCCCAATCGCGCCGATGCCCAGTCAAAACCTGAGCAGTATCACTGTATGTGAGCTCACCGCCCGCCCGCGCGCCAACCGCTAACGGAAAAAAAACGACTTCGCCGGCCCGCCCGGCCGCCGAGCTTACCGCGTCACGCACCGTGCATGGACAGGATCCCGCGAGCTCGGAATAGCAGTGGTCTAAGTCTCGCATCGCACGGTGGAGGTGTCCCGCGCCCCGCGACGCGCTGTCAGGCTCCGATCCCCGCTCCACACTCTGGCTTGGCCTCTGCCGCTTGCCTCCATGCCTTGGCGTCTAGCATTTACTATTTAGCCGAGGTGCGGGTGGGCGGCAGGGCAGCAGCCACCTCCTCCCGCGTGCTCTCCACTCCCAGCCCCCCGGGGACTACTACAGCACTAGGCTTAGTTGGCCACAGCCGCGACACTGCTCCGCTCTGCAAAGCATTGCCTGGTTTCTTGGCATGGCCGCCGCGGGGACGCAGCAGCTGGGTCGGCTTCTCGGCGGTCTCTGGTTCCTGGCCGCGTTGTTGCGGCCGGGCAGCGCTGCGGCGGCCGGGCAGCCGTCGGTGGCCACCGTCGATGCGCGGCTCGCCGTCGCGGCGACCGGGGAGGACTTCGTGTGCGCGACATTGGACTGGTGGCCGCCGGACAAGTGCGACTACGGCACCTGCGCCTGGGGCCGCGCCGGCCTGCTCAACCTGGTGAGTGACAACTGACGACACGGCCGCGTAATTAAGACCCTGTTTGTTCGTGGTCCGCCAAGGACACGCGAGACGCGAGCTCAGCTGGCTGACGCGCAGTTTCTGTCTCTCCTCTCGCGCAGGATCTCTCCAACAAGGTCCTGCTCAATGCCGTCAGAGGTAGGCGACGACCGGCGGCGGCCGTGGCCGCCCGCTGTATTGAGGGGTTCTCCCAATCCCCCATCCCAGTAGCTCTTTGCCAATGCGGTGGTGAATTTTGTTTGTTTCAGCCTTCTCGCCGCCGCTGGTGCTCCGCCTGGGAGGGTCGCTGCAGGACAAGGTGGTGTACGGCACCGCGGACCTCGGCGGGCGGCCGTGCGCGCCGTTCGCCAAGAACGTGTCGGAGATGCACGGCTTCACCCAGGGCTGCCTGCCCCTGCGCAGGTGGGACGAGCTCAACGCCTTCTTCCAGAAATCTGCGTGAGTTTTCATCGATTTCAGCCACTGAATTTTCAGTTCTGTGCTCCTCTTTGGGCTGTGAGAAATTCATCGGGCGGTGCATGTTGCAGTGCCAAGATTGTGTTCGGGCTCAACGCGTTGAATGGCCGCGTTCCGTTGCCTGATGGATCCGTGGGAGGGCCATGGGATTACACCAATGCGGCGTCACTGATTCGGTACACCGCGAACAAGGGCTACCGAATTCATGGGTGGGAGCTTGGTATGTTGTTTTATTGTGCATTTCATCATGCTAGTTGGTTCGAAATGCCCCTACTGTCTGGTCTGAAAGTGAGAATTTTTAATGATGTATAACTTGTTTCTGAAAGTCTCTTTTCATATGCCTGGTCTCAAAGTGAGAATTTTTAATGCATAACTTGTTTCTGAAAGGCTCTATTCAGTATGTCTATCTATTTTCAGAGAAGGGCTAGAGTTTCTGTTCAAACATCTTTTCAGTGTTCTCTAGTTTTCTGAAATTATTGATGTTGACATGTGACATGTCCAATCTTTAGGACAGTAGCATGTGTGGTTAGGCTGCCCAATACCAATTTCTGAATTATCCACAGCTTTTATACCTAATAATAAATAACATTTTGGTTGAAAATAATTCTCCAAAAAAAAATTAGAGTCACTAGCTACAATTTCAATAAAAAATGCAGGAAATGAACTCAGTGGTACTGGAGTAGGAACTCGGGTTGGCGCGGACCAATATGCTGCAGATGTGATCGCCCTAAAAAAACTAATCGACGACATATACCGAAGCAATCCATCAAAACCATTGGTGCTTGCTCCTGGAGGATTCTTTGACCAAGCCTGGTTTAGCCAACTTATTGACAAAACCAAGCCAAATCTACTGAATGTGATCACCCACCACATTTACAATTTAGGACCAGGTATACTCACAGCTATTTACTTGCGGATAATTTGGTTGATGCATACAGAGCTGAAAAACAATTTGCTGAACTGAACATCGCAGGAAAGGACACGCATCTGATTGACAAGATCCTCAATCCATCAACCCTCGACGGAATGATAGGCACATTCAGCAATCTTCAGGGGATGCTGAAATCCGTAGGAACATCGACCGTCGCATGGGTTGGGGAAGCTGGAGGCGCTTACAACAGCGGACGGCACCTTGTCACTGATGCATTTGTGTTCAGCTTCTGGTAAGCTAACAAGTTCTCCGGTGTCGAATTCTGTTTAGCTGTTCTTGGATATGTTTTTGAGCTCGTTTTGGTGATTTTTTTTTTCAAGGTTTTTAGATCAGCTTGGGATGTCAGCAAAGTATGACACAAAGAGCTACTGCAGACAGAGTTTGATTGGTGGCAACTACGGCCTGCTAAATACCACAACGTTCCAACCAAACCCTGACTATTACAGGTAAAAATACATAATGTTCTTAATGGCTAAAGTAGTATAGTAGGTATAAACACTTGACGAAAAACTTAGCCTTGTACCGGCGAAAAGAACTTGTCTTGTGCTGGAGTACAAGAAGATTGGATGCATCGAACAAGATATAATCCTTTGTCCTAAATGCATAGAACTACCCCCAATTGCTAAAAAGGTTGATCTTGCAGAACAAAAAAGAAAAACAAAGTTGCCAATTTGTCACTTCAATGACAGAATTCCTCCCAACTTTCTGTGCAGTGCTTTACTGTGGCATCGCCTCATGGGAACCAAAGTTCTAGCAACAACATTCAGCGGCACGAACAAGATCCGCGCATATGCGCACTGCGCAAGAGATTCAGTAAGCAATTCAGTACCTATTTCATCAGCAACATCACATCGGCAGCCAAAAAAACCTTCATCTCCTAAAGAATTCACGCTCAATCTTTACTCTGCGTGCGTCCTCCTCGTCCAGCCAGGAATCACTCTACTGCTGATCAACCTCAGCGGCAACACGACGACCCAGGTCTCAGTGACGGTGACGACCCAAGGGATGGTGGCGGCGCACAAGCATGGCGCAAGGAAGCACGTCGGCGGCAGGAAGTTCCGGCACGTCCACGGCCCCAGCTTCACCGGCGTCGACGAGGCAGCCGGCGCCGTGAGAGATGAGTACCATCTCACCCCCAAGGATTGCAACCTGAGGAGCCAGGTCATGCTGCTGAACGGCAGGGCGTTGGCCACCGACGCGGCGGGGAACATCCCGACACTGGAGGCTGTCAAGGTGGATGCGGCACAGCCCATCGCTGTGGCCCCGTACTCGATCGTGTTCGCTCGCATTTCACATTTCAATGCCCCGGCATGTAGTTAGAGTAGTAGCTAGATGGGTAGTAGATTCATAATGGGTTTGGCGTGATTGGTGATGATGGACAGCTAAGCTTTCCATCTGGTAAGATGAGGTGAAATGAGGTACAAGGCATCTGTCGAAAGAAAAGGGATGCAATTCAAGGGTGAGTTTGTTTTCTTTTTATTCTTAGAATTGTAGAAGGCTGAAGAAATTATGATGAACAACGATGGGAAGGGGAAAGGCTCGTTCCCATTGTCTTTCAGTTCATGGCTGGAAACACGAGTGAAACAGATTTGAGAGTGGTATTGGCGAAATTTGCTGAGTTCAAGGAAAGTATCAACTTTTCAAAAGCAAAAATGGAAAGCATCTAAGAAGAACTTTGCTTGGAATTGCTTGGAACCAAAGAAATTCCAGAATATTGTGGTGCACCGAGAAAAAGGAGAATTTGATTTGACTTCAAGTTTCAAGGTCTGTTTGGAAAAGAGAAATTCAAAACAGAGAAAATGAATAAAACACTGGAATATGAAACGTGTGTACGTTGAAAATAAATAAAGGATTGAAAAACACATGAATTTTATAGGAACGGGTGGTTGGAACACGAGAACATAAGACATGTTTATTCCTCCATTCTATCGAACAAGGACTTATCATCCCTCCATTCACATGTAGGAAAAATTTCCTAGAGTTTAGAGTGGATGTTTTATTTCCTCCATTTTATGAAAAGCAAGTATTTCCATAGAAAAGGAAAACTTCATTCCTCCGTTCCAAACACTTATGTGATGCAAACAAAACAAAGGAATTAGATTCCTTTGAAATTACTCCAATCCAAACAGGGCCTTGGGTTCTTTTATGAACTTGTCGGCAGCAACCATGAGAGTATACAAACAGCATTCGTATTCCGCAATAACGCAGAGCATAACATTGGATGATTAGAATGGGCATCAACAGAGCAATACAGAGTTACCACCAGTACAATGCAACAATCATATATCATTGTTCAAAGATTTCAACATCATCGCCATCATCGAAGGGACTGGGAAAATTTGCCAGACGCAGGACATCTGTTCTCTTCTACGTGGAGCTACAGGGAGTAAGAGTAAGGCTAACAGTAACGCCTCCAGGAGGCCCAAAGAGAGAATACAAACAGCAGCAGCAATCCTGAAACAGACTAAAAAAACAGCAGTGCAGCTAGACGGCTAGCGCACAATACACAAGAACTGGCGATTTGGCAGGAGTTATTCGAGATGTCCACGGTCGGTTGATCGTATACTTCTGCTGTGCTTGGTGTGGCCCTTACAGATACTTGAACAGAATGCCACCTTGGGTGGCGAAGAAGGGGGCAAACACGAGGGACTCCACGGCCATGAGCTTGATGAGGATGTTGAGGGACGGGCCCGAGGTGTCCTTCAGGGGTCACCAATGGTGTCACCGATCACAGCAGCCTTGTGGCAGTCAGATCCCTTGGGGCCAAGGGTCCTCGCGTGCTCGCTGGCACCAGCCTGAAACAAGCAGAGGGTGAAATTGAGGAGAAAGTTAGCACTGACCATAGATGAACAGACATGGTGTTCAATGAGACTTTTTCAGGACATTCACCTCAATGTACTTCTTGGCATTGTCCCATGCACCACCGGTGTTGGAAGCAGAGATGGCAATCTGTCGAAAGCAGAAATCCATAAACCCTAGAACAAGCAAACACATTGAAGTGAACAAAGAGTAGAAGGCAAAGCGCGCACCTGCACTCCAGAAACCAGGGCACCAGCAAGAACGCCAGAAAGAGTCTCAACACCGAAGAGGGTTCCAACAATGAGGGGAGTGAGCATGACCAGAGCACCCGGAGGAATCATCTCCTTGATGGAAGCATCAGTGGAGATCTTCACACAGGTTGCATAGTCGGGCTTGGCAGTTCCCTCCATTATCCCAGGAATGGTGTTGAACTGCCTGCGGACCTCCTCCACCATCTTCAGGGCGGCACTTCCAACACTCTTCATGGTCATGGCAGAGAACCAGTAGGGAAGCATGGCTCCAACAATCAAACCAATGAAAACCTTCGGGGAGAGGACATCGACAACCGTCACTCCAGCTCTGCTGACGAAGGCGCCAAAAAGCGCCAGGGACACAAGAGCAGCTGAACCAATGGCAAATCCCTGCAAAGAGATACAGATGAATTAAGTTACCAGGGGAGTACAATTGTTCTTTTGTTGCAGATTACTATCTACTACTACTACATAGGGATACAGATGAATTAAGTTAATAAATGAGTACAATGGTTCTTTACTTCTTTTGTTATCTTCTACCTACTACTTCATTCTCATATGTTAAAATATTAAGGAATACATAACCTACCAACAGTGCCAATAATGACAGTGGCAAATGAACAAGTTGAGCCAACAAATGAATAAAAAGCATTTTTACCTTTCCAATAGCAGCAGTTGTGTTGCCAGCAGCATCAAGAGCATCAGTTCTCTCACGGATTCTGTGGCTCATTCCAGCCATCTCAGCAATACCACCAGCATTGTCACTGATGGGACCATAAGCATCAATAGCAAGACCAGTTGCGATTGTGCTCAGCATACCAAGAGCGGCAACTCGATGCCGTACATTGCAGCAATGGAGAAACTGACATAGATGCTAATAGCGATAGCGAAAATCGGGATGATAACCGACTTGTATCCAAGAGCGAGACCAAAAATGACATTAGTGGCAGCACCAGTTCTGCACGAATCGGCGACATCTTGCACAGGACTGCCACAGAATAAACATGTTAGGATTAAAACACCATCACAAAGAAATGATAACAAGAAAAACATAATAGAGACTGGTAGGATGCGAACCTGTACGCATTGCTAGTGTAGTATTCTGTGACAAAACCAATAATCAGACCAGCCCACAGACCAATTGCAACACAGAAGAACAAGCCCCTGGAAAGATATGGCAGTTGTCAAGACGGTACATTCCATTCTACAAATAAATGGCAAAGGTTAACAAAAAAAAAAGCATACCAGTTGGAGACCTCCTTCTGAGTACCGAAGTTGTAGATGGTGAACTTAGCTGGAAGGGCCAACCAGCTGATTACAGCAATACCAACAGTCATCAGGACGGTGGAGATGATGAGCTGCTTCTTAAGTGCAGGCTCAATTTCCTTCACAGACTTGACTTCAAAGAAATCAGTAGCAAAAAGGGTGGTGATCAAGCAGACGATGATACCAACAGAGCTAACAAGGAGTGGGTAGCACATCCCAGTGAAATCATGGTCGATTCCGAAAGATGAAATAGACGCAACAACAAGGGCAGCACAGGAAGACTCAGCATATGACCCAAAGAGATCAGATCCCATTCCAGCAATGTCACCAACATTGTCACCGACATTATCAGCAATCACCTGCAAAATAAGATTTAAAAGTTCAGGGAAGGAAATGCCATGTATTAATGATTGTATAGCTCCTAGAATTGTCCTAAAATGAACACTATATGTCAAGAAAACTTACAGCTGGGTTCCTAGGATCATCCTCAGGAATGTTCCTCTCGACCTTTCCAACAAGATCGGCACCAACATCAGCAGCCTTTGTGTAGATGCCTCCACCAACTCTTCCGAAGAGAGCCATGGATGACCCACCAAGGCCATAACCAGTGATGGACTCAAAAAGACCCTCCCAGTCATCACCGTAATACAACTTAAATACATTAATGGTGATGTACAGAACCACAAGCCCACTTGATGCAAGCAGGAAACCCATAACAGCGCCAGAGCGGAAGGCAGTGATAAAAGCCTTGCCAACACCCTTCCTAGCTTCCAGGGTAGTTCTGGCATTCGCATATGTGGCAATCTTCATGCCAAGGAAACCAGATACCAAAGACGTGATGGCTCCAAGCAAGAACGACACAGTGCTAAAGAGTGCAGTGAACAGTGCAGGCTTGCAGTACTTGTCCTTGCTATAGGTGCAGGGCTGGCTCTTCGTGCTGAATCCCTCAACCGAACCAAGGAAGAGGAAGATCACAACAGCAAAGATAGACATGAAGATACCAACATATTGGTACTCAGTGAAAAGAAACGATGTTGCTCCTGTCCATAAAAGAAAAGACAATTGTTAGACATCAGTTATATGGTTAGGGTCACTAGGATGTAAATATAACACCACACAAGATTATATTGCGCTGCCCATGCAAACTATGCACAATACAATAGCACACTAGTCAAGCAAGATCAGAAAGAACACCAAAACTATTGGTCCAATTTTATCTTTCCAGTATCAGCAAATAAATAACTAGTGCCTAATACAGACTGACACATCCAACATCCATTTGTCAACCACACAGGGAAGTAACAAACTCATGGCACCCAGACCAGATAACTCCAAAAGTGCTTATTTTCCTGTGTCCCCATCTCAATCATAGAAAATAGCACATCCGGTCAAAGATTGGTGACACGCTTAAAACAAAACCCCACATATGGGGGCATGTATCTGATGAGCACTAGGCCATCCATGCTGATCTAAATGGGAAGCTCAGAGGTCAGTGAACAAGCGACACGTGAGTGACAGATGGCAGAGAATCCCCATCCCTTACCCAGGAACTTCCAGGTCCAGATCTACCTAGCACTAGAGACATAGGATCCCATGTATTGATTAAATAAATGGTAGCTCAAGTCCACCAAATGGTGCCCTGCCCAACTTGCTACGTGTGCACATATAAAGTTTGTTACAGATCCATCACGCACCTTCCATTACCAAGTTTTGGTCTAGAAGCAAGGGGCCAGGCGAGATCAGAACATTTTTTGTCAACTGAAAGCTACACCTTTACTGCAGCACCGACACAGAGCAAGAACACCGCAAGGCATTAAAAGAACTCTTCAGCAAAGCCTAGATCCATCACCCACTACAAGCATCCAAAGCCAAAGCCCAGATTCACACTTCCAAGGGGTGAGAAAAAGGAATTATTTGCCAGCCCCACTTGGGACCCGTGAACCGAATACCAGCAAAACAACAGTAACATATCACATGAACCCCCATTTGAAAAAATCCACATTTGGGACAGGTGCCAGTAGTGACCAAAATTATCATAAAAAGTACATAGTTTGGACTCTGGAGGGGGGAAGGGGTAGTACAGCAACTGGCAGCCCCCACAGAGGAACCAACACCCCCCACAGAGATATTTGTCTTCCATTCCGTAGAAAACATGCAGTCTGAAACTCGTTTCAGTCCAAAGAAAAACATCATTCTGTGATGTCTAGCCAGTAAGCTATGGTCCCCGAAGAGGGTAAAGATAGAATGGCATTTGAGCTCACCCAGGCACACATCCTGATATTAGGAACTTCACGGCCAGATCAGCGTGAAATCCACTAAATAAACGAACGGATAACAAAAGTCTGGACCTTTTACCCCCCGCAAAGATCTCAATTTTTCGAGAAACGTGTGTATATCTATCCTATAATAAACGACAAATATACTAAGAACGTAATCCTCGGTTGGCAAACGCGCCAGAGCAGCGCGAAATGCGTGGATCTAAGCGGACCCAGCGAGCGGCAGCCCCCAGATCTGAGGAATCCCCGGGCTCACCTTCGGAGATAGCGTTCTGGATCTCGGCGCACTTGACGACGACGTTGTGGTCGTTGAGCCCCTCCTCCTCCTCGATGAGGTAGTCGCCGTAGCCGTTCTTGCCGCCGCCGCCGGACGCGGCGGCCGCGGCCGGGGAGAGCTTCACCCGCGACACGATCACCCACTGCACGACGGCGAAGGCGATGCCGATGACGGCGGCGACGGGGATGAACACCTCGGTGGCGAGCGCCGAGAGGATCGCCATGGCGCGCCGGCGGAAGGCCAAACCCTAACCCTACGCGGGGAACGAACGCACGGACGCGCGGCGGCGGCGGGGTGGGGGAAGGGGGGGAGAGGCGACGGACGCGTCTCGCTCTGCACGCTCTCTCCCCTCTGCTCGAGGCGCGTGTTCTTATATAGCGGGGAAGGTGAGTGTGGAAATGGAATTGGATGGAGGTGGCCAGGAGAGAGAAGAAGAAGGGGGGGTGGGTCGTGAATGCAATTAACTTGGAAGCGGTTAGGCGTAAAAATTGCAGGCCCGTGTGTCAGTGTGTGGGGTGTCCCGTTTTATAGCCTTTTGTTGTTGCTGGTGTGGTGGGCTGGAATTTTTTTGATGGCAGGTGGGCCCAGGAGATAAATATCTTTATCTTTTCTTTTGTTCTTCATTGTAGGCGGGAAAAGATCTGGATAAAGGGTAAGGGAGCGAGCTTGCACTGACGTGTCATTTGCTTTCAACATTGGATAAGCTAATTATCTTGGATACTGCAATGGCAATGTGATTACTCCGTCTTCTTTGGGCGTCAACGAGAACAAGACATTTTTTTCCTTTGAAATGAGCTAGGAACCAGACAATATTCATTTACAAATTAATAATAATGTAGTAGAAAATACAAGAGAATAACCATGTAGGCTAAACGTGGGGAGAATAACAACAAAACAAACTATAAAAACTACATCAGTCATAGCCAAAAAACCACTTGGACAATCGTTGCTAAAACTATTGTAAACCCATCTTAATTGCTTAGGCGGTTAGGCCCTCTGCAGTGTTAACCTGGATTGAAGCTTGAAGTGGAGAGAGAATGTTTGTGAACCGCTCTGCCACTGCAACAAGTGGTGCCGATGCTAGAAATTTTGAGAGCGGCACAAGGACTTGCCTCGGTGCTAACTCTGATAAGGACAAACTGCAGCAAAGTTGTTGGTCGCCGCTAGTAATGCCATCACGCTGCAGCCTTGGGATAATGATGCCTTCTCCGAGCAATGGGACCCATTATTTTCTAAGCTCCGCATATTGCTAAAAGCATTACGGTTCTAATCTCCTACAACTAAAAAGAACCAAAGTAAGATAATTTTTTGGTGCGACAAATTTTATTTTTTGGGTCACCCTTCCCTCCCTTGCGATACCGCGGCTCAGATAGTCAGGTACGCCTCACGCAAGGAAACCTCGCGCAAACGCCTCGCCATCTCGGGAAGGAAACCTCGCGGCCTTGCCATCTCGGGAAGGAAACAACGCGCCTCGCCGTCTCGGGAAGGAAATCTCGTAGCCTCCCTCAACCTGTGACTCATCCATCTCGGGCGACAATCATCGCCATCGCGCGGCCTCCCTCATCCTCGCTCATTGGGCAGGCACCCGGTGATGGTGTTCTACCACGGCGGCGCGTTCGTGATCGAGTCGACGTTCACGGCGCTATACCATGCGTACCTAAACGGGGTGGCGGCGAAGGCGCGCGTGGTGGCGGTATCCGTGGAGTACCGCCTGGCGCCGGAGCACCGGATGCCGACGGCATACGATGACTCATGGCAGGCGCTCAACTGGGTGGCCCAGAACGCCGCGTCTGGGCTGGAGCCGTGGCTGCGGGACTGGGCCAACCTGTCCTGGCTCTTCATCGTCGGGGACAGTGCCGGCGCCAACATCGCACACAAATGGCCATGCGCGCGGGGGGCACGGAGGAGGGCGGGCGGCGGCTGGACGGCGGCGCAGCCATCACGGGGCTCCTGTTCCTGGACCCTTACTTCTGGGGGAAGTAGCAGTGGCCGGGGAGACGACGGACCCGGCGAGGCGGCACCAGTACGAGGCGATGTGGTCCTTCATCTGCGGCGGGTGGTACGGCATCGACGACTTGCGGGTGGACCCGCTGTTGATGTCGGCATCGCAGTGGCGGAAGCTGGCATGCTCGCGCGTGGCGATCACGTCGTCGGGCTTGGACGACTTCCGCCCACGCGGCCTGGCGTACGCGGCGGCGGCGCTCAACGGCAACGTGTGGGACGGGGAGATCGAGCCGTACAAGATGCCCCACAAGCGGCACGTCTTCTTCCTGGATAGGCCCAAGGACCCCAACTCCATCAAGGAGCTGGCCTTCGTCACTGGCTTCCTCACCCTAGAGTAGAGTAGGTAGCCATCACGGCGAGGGCCAATCGTGAGGATTGTTGGTTGCGGTACATGATTAATTAATAGAGATTATTATTATTGCTAGCACCGTAGCATGTTTTTTTTGTTTTTTTGTGTTTGGATCTTGATAGGGTTCTCGAGAGGTGATGATGATTTGGTTGATGACGAGCACGTGAATTTGGGGATGGTAGCTCACCACACTTCTAACATCATGAGGAAAGTTGTCTGCAGAGTGCAGCATGTGATGCTAGCTGTCGTATGTTCGCTTCAGTTTCTACCGGCGAGCTGATGTAGGTGGAGCTGGTCCACCCGGCGGCCTCAGGAGGAGAAGGGTTAGTGGTGCGCGTGCTCGACGATTGCGGGGAGATGTGGGAGGCCACGGAAGACATCAGTGCCCCCGTCATGCTCGTGGTCGCGTCCACCTGGTTGTGTCCCGCAATGAGGCCCAACACCGTGTACTATGCCATGGCACGGGTGTGGGCATACAGCCTCCCGGGCGCATCGAGGTCGTGGAGGTGCTCCTGACCACCAACAGGTATAGGGCGCCGTGCTTCTGGTTAGCGCCGGTGTACTCGCAGCGGCGCCCCCGACGGGCGTGACTCGTGAAGTCGTGATGCAACCAAATCTGTTTGCTTGCTGCATTGAAATGCTTAGTTTGTGTCGGGTGCTCTATCAGTATGGGTTTCAGTGATGCAGATGTACTGTACATCGTCATCATACTGTTGAGTGGTTTTTCAGTGGTGCATTCTTTGTTTCAGGATTTGGATTCGTCAAGACAAACTGGACAGATGGTGAAGCAGCAAACAATTTGGGTCTTGTAGTCATTCATGAATTCGCAAACCTGGTAAGTTCACTTGCATCTCAGAGTAACTTCATTTTTAGGTCTTCCTAGATCTACCACTACTCCTGTCCGACAAATTCAATTTTGCAGTTTTGTTACTTGAAGTTATTCCTTTCAGTCTTGCATGCATGTTTCCGTCTACCACTATATGTTGTCATCAATCTATAATATACTTGCTTGCATCACCGTGCGTTGGACATCTACACTATTTTTCACCATGAGATAGTAGTAGAAAATTGAGCAGTAGCAGTTGGAATCTTTGACAGCAGATGGTAATTCAATATCATATTGTGGTTTGATATATAGTAAAAAATTTAGCAGTAGCAGTTGAAGTCATCGAAACTCTGAAAACTCCTTTTATATAATTGTAGACTTTATTAATATCTAATTTTCATTATGGTTTTAGTCATCTAATCATGACACTATGGAATACTAAGTACAATTAGCCAACCAATAGTACACATAGAGCAACAAGTTCGCCTCGTAGAACTATTGAGAGACTACATTCTTAGATGTACAATATATTTCATGAAGACTTATATAATATTGATATTGATGTTACCAACATCATGATAGTATATCTTTTAGATAACAGACACACGCTCCCGTTGCAACTCACGGGCATTTACCTATATTTCATAAAATGCCTCTACAAATTAAGTTACTTATTTTATATTGATTATATTCTATACACTAAAATGATAGATTGTTCGATCTCCTAATCTTTTGTTGTTTGTTCAACGCTCCATATTTTATAGATTTGGTCAAGTGCCATCCAAGTTTAAGTAAAATTTCACAAGAGACTTAAATTAAGGTTATTCAAGACTGCATGCTTGGTTCAATGATTTACAAATTCTTGATGTAGAGCTAACAACTAAAGCAATAAATTATTGTGCCGAGCTAACCATAAAAGCAGAGAGCAAGCAGAGATAAGGGTTAAAGCAAGGAATTCCTGTGCCGAGCAAACCATTAAATTAAGCAGCAAGCTTGTGCTTCAACAAGTTCCAATGCGGAGCTAACCGAGTTTTCCAGCATTGAATCAGTGTTTTCCAATCCTTTGTATACCATAAGTAGTCTGTATTATTTCTTGGTTTAGTAATAAATTGCAACAAGTTATCAATGTAATTTATTTTGATTTAGTTAAACTTGTAATCATGATCCATTCTGCAACTATTGTCGTGATAAATATATCTATGTTTATTCAGAATGAGCTTTGTTTACTTGTAGTAATAAATAATTTTCTGCCACCTCGAGTGTTTGGAGCTAACACAAGTACGCCATCGACTCCATCTCAGCCATAGCAAAGGTGATTCATCTCTTCTCATGCGCTATGTTTATTTGTAGAATTAAGTCCATTGTACAAGTGCACATACTAAATAATTTGTAGGGATGGCGGTGTCGACTCGCGAGATCCTGTGTGAGCGCCGTCACCACCGCGGCATGCGCACGCTGCTGCCGCTGCCGCCCGCGCTGCTCCTCGCGCCGTGCCTGACGCCGCCGCCTCGGGCTGCCGCTATGGTTAGGTTTTGGGGGCACGGGTGACGGGCGGTGAGGGTGGAGTGCGGGAGACGGGGTAGACGAAGGGACGAGCAGGAGGACTGGAGGAGGAGATGCGCGCCGCAGCAGGAGGCGGAGCTCGGCGGAGCATGCCCAAGGGACAAGCGGGTTCTGTACGATTCACGACTACCCGTGCGTGGGGCTTAATGGGCAAGACCCGAACCGATTGCACGGTTCATATATTTAGTTGGCTTGATCCGACGGTCCATGTGATTTTTAGTTATATATTTTTTGTTAGATTTACATTTCAAGAACATGTTTATATTTACTCGAATATTATATTTAAGTTTATATATACGGCAGCTTGTGCATAGCATTTGTGAGCCTGCGACACCGAGCTCTCCCGTGACTGTGTTAATTTCACGAACTTTGCCTTTTGGATTAATTGTCACTTTAGCATCGATATTTAATTTCACAGTATTGTTATCTTATCGTGCGATCCGTGTGTTTTTAGTATAAAAGTTTAGCTGTCCCGTAGCAA